TTGAGACGATAAACTAAATTGATAAACCATTAGCCAGACTCATCAAGAAAAAAAGGAAGACTTAAATCAATAGAATTAGAAATGAAAAAGGAGAAGTAACAACTGACGCTGCAGAAATACAAAAGATCACGAGAGATTACTACAAGCAACTCTATGCCAATAAAATGGACAACCTGGAAGAAATGGACAAATTCTTAGAAATGCACAACCTGCCAAGACTGAATCAGTAAGAAATAGAAAATATGAACAGACCAATCACAAGCACTGAAATTGAAATGGTGATTAAAAATCTTCCAACAAACAAAAGCCCAGGACCAGATGGCTTCACAGGTGAATTCTATCAAACATTTAGAGAAGAGCTAACGCCTATCCTTCTCAAACTCTTCCAAAATATTGCAGAGGGAGGAACACTCCCAAACTCATTCTACGAGGCCACCATCACCGTGATACCAAAACCAGACAAGGATGTCACAAAGAAAGAAAACTACAGGCCAATATCACTGATGAACATAGATGCAAAAATCCTCAACAAAATACTAGCAAACAGAATCCAACAGCATATTAAACACATCATACACCATGATCAACTGGGGTTTATTCCAGGAACGCAAGGATTCTTCAGTATATGCAAATCAATCAATGTGATACACCATATTAACAAATTGAAGAAGAAAAACCATATGATCCTCTAAATAGATGCAGAGAAAGCTTTCGACAAAATTCAACACCCATTTATGATAAAAACCCTGCAGAAAGTAGGCATAGAGGGAACTTTCCTCAACATAATAAAGACCATATATGACAAACCCACAGCCAACATAGTCCTCAATGGTGAAAAACTGAAACCATTTTCACTAAGATCAGGAACAAGACAAGGTTGCCCACTCTCACCACTCTTTTTCAACGTAGTTTTGGAAGTTTTAGCCACAGCAATCAGAGAAGAAAAGGAAATAAAAGGAATCCAAATCGGAAAAGAAGAAGTAAAGCTATCACTCTTTGCAGATGACATGATACTATACATAGAGAATCCTAAAGATGCTACCAGAAAACTATTAGAGCTAATCAACGAATTTGGTAAAGTAGCAGGATACAAAATTAATGCACAGAAATCTCTTGCATTCCTATACACTAATGATGAAAAATCTGAAAGTGAAATTAAGAAAACACTCCCATTTACCCTTGCAACAAAAAGAATAAGACACTTAGGAATAAACCTATCTAAGGAGACAAAAGACCTGTATGCAGAAAATTATAAGACACTGATGAAAGAAATTAAAGATGATACAAATAGATGGAGAGATATACCATGTTCTTGGATTGGAAGAATCAACATTGTGAAAATGACTCTACTACCCAAAGCAATCTGCAGATTCAATGCAATCCCTATCAAACTACCACTGGCATTTTTCACAGAACTAGAACAAAAAATTTCACAATTTGTATGGAAACACAAAAGACCCCGAATAGCCAAAGCAATCTTGAGAACAAAAAACGGAGCTGGAGGAATCAGGCTCCCTGACTTCAGATTATACTACAAAGCTACAGTAATCAAGATAGTATGCTACTGGCACAAAAACAGAAAGATCAATGTAACAGGATAGAAAGCCCAGAGATAAACCCACGCACATGTGGTCACCTTATCTTTGATAAAGGAGGCAGGAATGTACAGTGGAGAAAGGACAGCGTCCTCAATAAGTGGTGCTGGGAAAACTAGACAGGTACATGTAAAAGTATAAGATTAGATCACTCCCTAACACCATACACAGAAATAAGCTCAAAATGGATTAAAGACCTAAATGTAAGGCCAGAAACTATCAAACTCTTAGAGGAAAACATAGGCAGAACACTCTATGACATAAATCACAGCAAGATCCTTTTTGACCCACCTCCTAGAGAAATGGAAATAAAAACAAAAATAAACAAATGGGACGTAATGAAACTTCAAAGCTTTTGCACAGCAAAGGAAACCATAAACAAGACCAAAAGACAACCCTCAGAATGGGAGAAAATATTTGCAAATGAAGCAACAGACAAAGGATTAATCTCCAAAATTTATAAGCAGCTCATGCAGCTGAATAACAAAAAAACAAATAACCCAATCCAAAAATGGGCAGAAGACCTAAATAGACATTTCTCCAAAGAAGATATACAGACTGCCAACAAACACATGAAAGAATGCTCAACATCATTAATCATTAGAGAAATGCAAATCAAAACTACAATGAGATATCATCTCACACCAGTCAGAATGGCCATCATCAAAAAATCTAGAAACAATAAATGCTGGAGAGGGTGTGGAAAAAGGGAACCCTTTTGCACTGTTGGTGGGAATGTAAATTGATACAGCCACTGTGGAGAACAGTATGGAGGTACCTTTAAAAACTGCAAATAGAACTACCATATGACCCAGCAATCCCACTACTGGGCATATACCCTGAGAAAACTATAATTCAAAAATAGTCATGTACCAAAATGTTCATTGCAGCTCTATTTACAATAGCCTGGAGATGTAAACAATCTAAGTGTCCATCATCGGATGAATGGATAAAGAAGATGTGGCACATATATACAATGGAATATTAGCCATAAAAAGAAACGAAATTGAGCTATTTGTAATGAGGTGGATAGACCTAGAGTCTGTCATACAGAGTGAAGTAAGTCAGAAAGAGAAAGACAAAAACCATATGGTAACACATATATATGGAATTTAAGGAACAAAAAAACGTCGTGAAGAACCTAGGGGTAAGACAAGAATAAAGACACAGACCTTCTAGAGAATGGACTTGAGGATATGGGGAGGGGGAAGGGTAAGCTGTGACAAAGCGCGAGAGAGGCATGGACATATATACACTACCAAACGTAAGGTAGATAGCTAGTGGGAAGCAGCCGCATAGCACAGGGAGATCAGCTCGGTGCTTTGTGACCGCCTGGAGGGGTGGGATAGGGAGGGTGGGAGGGAGGGAGACGCAAGAGGGGAGAGTTATGGGAACATATGTATAACTGATTCGCTTTGTTATAAAGCAGAAACTAACACACCATTGTAAATCAATTATACTCCAATAAAGATGTAAAAAAAAAAAAAAGATGGCGATGGCACGCAGTGCACAGAGACCACGCTGTGAACAACGCGCCTGTGCAGGAGTGCTCTGCCCCTCCCCCCTTCCCCCCCCCACACACTGAGGAGAGCCCTATGAAGCAGCCCAACAATAGCTGGCCTGTGGGAAGAGTTGTACTCTAGAGCTCGAGCTGGCACCTCTCCACTCTTTGATCAAAGAATAAAGCTTTCCTTTGCTTCTGAACTAAACTCAGTCTCGTTCTACTGGCTCGAAGGACACCCTGCAGAAGGACCCTTGTTGGGTACCAACTGGAAAAGGTCAGTAACAAGTTTCATTCCTTCCTCCACCCACTCTACACCCCAAATCATTGAGAAGAGAATCTGATTAAATTATTCTATATTTGAAGACAAGTACACATTCATACCCTTCTTTTCCAGCTTTATTGAGGTATAATTGACAAATATGATATTTAAGTGAACATTGTGATGATCTGACACACATTTACATTGGGAAAGGATTCCCTCCCTTTGAGTTATAATGGACACCTCCGTCACCTCACACACTTAACTTTTTTTTTTTTTGTAAGAACATTTAAGTTCTACTCTCTTAGCAAATTCCAATTATGCAATACAGTTTTGTCAACTCTGGTCACCATGTTATACATTACCTCCTTAGGCTTTATTCATCTTGTACCCTTTTGTCACAACCATAGCATGTTGAGGTTAATATCATCAAGCTGTGGCAGCTCAATGCTGAATCTGTTTGCACTCGTCCCATTCAGATCGATGGAAACGCAATTTCTTAAGTCCTTTGTTGGTTTTGCAAATGAGTTTTATTTTTGTAATACATACTAGATCCAGGAACATCTATTTTTAACAAGTAAAAGAGATACATTGAAGACAGAGCTTGGATATTTTTCGGTTTTGGGGGTGGCAGTCGAAGAGCATTGGGAAAGTTTAACTGGCCTGTTTTACTGGCTTCAATAAAATGGAGGTGTTTGGGGTTATGAGCTCCCTTGATGGGTTTATCTACCTTCAGATGCTTGTATTGGTCTGGGGAGGGATGGGGTTAAAGGAGAACGGGGTACTAGGAAATTAAAGGTTTGTGGTGAAGACAACAAGCTGGCAAATGCAGGCAGCCCCACATTAACATTCCATAGGATTCTGCAGGTTCCGCTGCTAATTGTTGACTGGGAACCCAGAGTTCTGGGGAGAGACTTGCCTCAGGCTGCCAATCAAAGAAAGAAGTAATCCCATCCCAGAAAGGGTATCACTTCCCTGCAATTGATGTGAAGGAAAAAGTCAATTAGGATTTTAAATTATCAAAGTGCTTAAGGCACTCGCTTGACATACCCCAAAATAGTGACACCATATCCTCAAATTCAGGCGCAGAGGCGGTGTGGCCAGTAGTCCTGCAGTGTGGGATCATGGCCATCTTGTCCCCACGCTGCCCGCTCTCTGGGGCCCTGCCCTCACGGCCACCTCCTGCGCTGAGAGACTACCCTTTGCTCTCTGCCTGCTCACATCAGCGGGTCTGCTCCACTGCCAGCAGGGGCAGGAGATGGGGGGTGGGTTGAGGGTGAGAGGCAGTCGCAGAGCTGGAGAGATGCGCCCCTGACTCCGTGGCCTAGGTCACCTTGTGGTTGGGTTTGTCCTTCGGGAGAGGGAAGGAAAATGAGAGAAGAAGCCATGGGAGGTGAAAAGGAACTTCTCCTGCCCTGGGAGCATGTGTCTGAGGGAACATTCTGATCCGGATGTTTGTAAGTTGAGGAGGGTTTTCCCCAATATTCACACTGTGTGTTAGAGAACCAGGCTGAGGAGCTGAAAACTCGTTTCTATTTTGACTTTGCCTCCGAGTATCAAAACATTCACTTTCTCTTGATGTAGGACAGGGTTGAGAAGACTTTCTATTAGGCAATATTTATAAATTGCTTGAAAGCCTTATTTTATTATCTTGATAGCTGTTGTTTGGAAATGTTTTGGGGACCCTGAGGGCCTGGGTGTTTTTTGGCCATAGAACTTCAAAGAATAAAGTAAAACTGGCCTGCACTGGACATGGAGAGAAATTTGCTTTTGCTTTGGAGATGAAGGGGGAAGACAAGGGAAGGAATGGAAGGAGGAAGGAGAAAGCACAAAGTGCAGAGAGGTGAGAACCAGGTCAAACAGCCCAATCGTGAGGGCTCACAGGCTGTTGAAGAGGTGCTGGGGGCTGCCCTTCATATGAAGTTCCTTGCCTTGCTGTGTCATGAGACTCCATTTCTGCTCCAAAATCATCAGTAAAGACTTCTCTGTTCATATTTCTTTTTGGTGGAACTCAGAAACGGACTGTCCTCTTATACTGGCTATATCACCTGCATCTCTACTTGCAGAAATCTCTGAGTGGTGTCATCTCAGGCCCTTGGGTGAAAAGATTTGCTGCAGAACCTGTGAGCTTCCTCCAGTGTTTGGCAAGTTTTATGTGATGAATGGTGTCATTGGTCTTTCTGGGCTTGGTGCTGGAGCCCCTGGTATTTATGAGACAAGAGATGACAGGCTGCCTGGCTCTTCCCCAGCTGGCAGGCAGCAGTAACTTCTTCTCACACCTAATTGGAGCCTGTAACTGCATAGAGTGGCTCTCCAAGACCAGGCACTGTCACCCGCTGCCAAGTGATGAAAAACTCTCTGACCTGCCTCCTAATTATTTTCAAATTAAAAGGTACTTTCGGGACAACGGAAATTCCCCCAGGTGCTTGTCTGAATGATTTTGGCAGCTTCTCCCAAAGTGTTCTGGCCCCGAGCACACCAGCCAGCCTCAGACTTTCCATCCAGCGCAGGCCACGCCCTGCCCGTTTTCTGAGCACCTGCTCTAGGCACTGAGCCAGCTCCTTGCCTGCTAAGGGCTCTCTCCTTGCCTGCTGAGCAGGCACCTTTGCTCCACGTCGACCTGTGGAAAGAGAAGCTGGTGAAGGGCCCTAGAATCTACTCTGAGTTTTGAGGAGAGCACCTCCCAAAGACCCCTGTCAGGTAGCACATCTGTGAGCACTGAGAATGAAATGTTTCAGGGGTCTTTGCTAGACCTATTCACCAGGGAGCACCCTTGCTGATCAAGGGATGCTGCTTTCACAGAACCCTTAGGAGTTTCCCTCCCTGCCCTTCAGGATCAGAGCCACAGACAGTCAAAGATGAAAGCAGCACTAGGGAGCACCCAATCCAACCCCAAATGAGGCCTATGGACATGGGCAAGTGGCCCTGTGTTTAGCAATGTGGTCATGGCAGAACTGGGACTTCAATCTGGGCCTCCTGTGGCCCCAGCTGTGCTCTGTCACCACTCTTGTCTTCCACGCTTCACTGTGCCACTGGATGGCAGTTCTCCTCTCCTTCTTCCCCCTAGAAAGACAGTTTGATGGGCTATACTTCGAAGATGGAGAAAGTTATGGGAGGCTCCAGAATCTAATGGGTCCACGTAAAGATGTAATTGAAAGAGGATAATATAAGAATCCATTTCTGTTTTTAAATGACTGTAATTATCAGATATTATCCGGATCTTATTCCCCACAAAGCTGTTTTGGGGTCGGGATGTACTGAGTTGACCTTTTCTGTTCTTTCCTGACTATCCGTGTTATTATCATTTCATCATCGTCCCACGGCTCTCTTCTTTCTTTCCTTTCAGTGCACCCTTTCAGGGAATTCAGTCATCTCCAAAGCGATAACTTTGTTTTCTCCTCCTCGTCTTCCCCTTTCCCACTTACATGCTTCCATTTGGCGTTATTGGTTCGGCATTTTACACTCTTGACCATCGTCTTCTTGAAACTCTCTGCTCCCTCGGCTTTAGTAAGACCACACTCTCATGTTCCTCCTACCAATCTGGTTGCTTATTCTCAGACACTTTGTAAGCATTTCTTCTTCTGGGAGTTCTTCCCTAAATGTCAGTACTTTAGTTGGGTGTACCTTTGGCTTTGTCCATCTCCTCTCCTCACTACATCCTCTTCTGAAGTAAGCACTCCTGTGGTTTTCCTACTACATCTGCATGCATGACTGTAGTAGACTATTCATTTGGACTTTGTAGTAGATTTTCAAGGCCTAGCAAGTTTCCTAATTTCCTGCCTCTGGTAACAAACCCTCCTCCCCCGGCCTGTGACCCATAGTCTAGGCTGAGCTAGTCATAGCACAGCATCGTCCTGCTGACAGGGATCAAGTTATGTCCTCACTCTTGGACCAAACATGGCTATCCTGGCTATTCTCCCTTGGTGTCCCCTCACATCCACCAAGGATCGATTCTCCACCCTTCTCTGTCTTGCTCTGAGCCCCAGAAGTCTGATTCTTACAGGCTGCATCATCACCCAAGTTCCCTCGCCCTCTGTCTTCTGGTGGGTTTGGCAGTGGGAGCTATCAGCAAGAAATCAGAGGTTGGAAAGAAAAAGAGCAGTCAGAGTATATGACATCAGAATGGAGAGTCAAACCAGTAATCCTCCAAAGAAGATGGAGTTGATATGACGATTAAACCATCAGAGAAGGAAGAGTGGCAGCTTGAAGAAATTCCTGAGTCATGTGTATGGGTAGATACATAAGTGCCTGGGCACATGTAAGGTACAGGGCTGAAACGTAATTGACACCCTGTCCAGGGCTAGGCCTACATTTCTACCGGACGGCTGTGCTTAAGTGACACATGGATCCCTCAAACACAACCTGTCAATTCTGCCAACCCCAGCCTATCCTCCTCCTGTATTCCCAACTGTATCAGCCAATTCGCCTTTCAAGTTGTGAATCTCTTAGCTCGTCTTTGATTCTTTCTTTTTTCTAATTTCCCACATATAATGAATCCCCAAGCTCAGTTGATTCTACCTTTGAAATGTCTTCCCCTCCATTCCCACTCCTTTGCCATAATCTGGGCCCTTCACAATTACTCACCTTATTGCCGCTGCTTCTTAACCAGGTTAATTGGTCTTCTTATCCCCAGACTTACTCCTCCAAAATAATCTATGCATTGTCATTGGAGATATTTCTTTCTCTTTTATTACTATGAAATACTTCACACTATAGAGAAATACAGAGAATAACATTACTCCTATGTATCCACCATATAGATTGCTTCAGAACTTTTTAAAAAGATTTAATAAAATATGTCAAAACATTAAGGAAAAAAATAAAAGCATTTCAGATATAGTTGAAGCCTCCTGTGTATCTCTTCCAATCCCATTTCCCTCCTTTGCTCCTCATAGAAGCCAACACTATCTTCAATTTTGTATTTATTTTTCCCAAGAAATGTCTTTACCACATGTATATGTATCCATTAACAGTATTTACTATGGTTTTGCATGTTTAAAATCTTTATAGAAATGATATCAAGAGTATGCTACCCATCTGCAACTTGCTTTTCTCATCAATAATGTCTTTGAGATTTATACCTGTAGATACATACATGTAGCTTTATTTTGTTAATTTTAGCTGCTATAGAAGCTTCCACTGTGTGAATATAGCACAATTTACTGATACACTCTTCTGTTGATGGATATTTATGTTATTTCCAGTTTTTCACAATGATGAACATGCCACAAATGAAACTTTCTCACCTGTGTATCCTGGTATATGTGTGAAAATCTCTGAGAAGTAGACACATAGAATAAAATTGATGAGTCTAATTGTAGACACATCTTTATATGTTATCAAGTTATTCTCCACATTGGTTGTACCAATTCACGTCCCTGCCAGCATTACATAAGAGTTACCATTTCATACTCATCAGACTGACAAAAAAGGAAAAGTCTGACACCCCCAAGTATTGGAGATATTATGGAGAATTGAGATCTCACCGTTGTTTAATTGAATTTTCTTGATTTCTAGGAAGACGGAGCATTGCTCATATTTATTTCTTATTCTGGTTCCTCTTATGTGTGTTGCTGGGTTATGTCCTTAACCTATTTTTCTATTGGATATTTTAGCTTTTTCTTCCTATTGATGTAGGAATTCTTCTTATGGGCTGGATATTTTTCCTTTGGTGATTATGACGGTCAGTTATCTTCTCCCCATCAGTAGCTGGTGTTTACTCTTTGATAAATTTGACTACATTAAAATTTTTAAATTTATATCCAAAAGATCCCACCATAAATAATATTTTCTTTTGCAGTTGATTCCTCCGTGTCTTAGCGAAGAAATCCTTTTCTACCTTGAGATTGTAAGAATATTCTTATGCTTTTTCTTATGCAACTGTAGTCTGATCAAGGCTGGAAAACTGTAACAGTTCAAATAACAGGAGGTAGTCAACAGGTCACTAAAAAACAAACAAACAAATTAAGAAATGTGCATCAGGAAGCCCCACCATTTTCTTTTGAGCTGTGCGATCCTGAGAAGGTCACTGAACCTCTCCTGTGTTTGTCCCTGGCTGGTTGGGAAGCCCTGAACAAATGTTAAGGAGGGCTGCTGTTCACATGACCCACCCTCGGTTACTCCCTTAGTCCTTTCCTCTGGCATTTTCTGGATTTGTGAAATCTCCAGCTGCAGTTAAAATGCCATCTTCCACATCCTGGACTAGGAAAACCTTGTGCTGACCTGGATGACTCAGCTGGAACATGGCGAAAAACACTCAGAACTTTGAATCTGAGCTGCCTTCATCTGTTCAAGTAAGTGGAGTTACAGAGCCTCTGCCAGGAAGACAGTACAGGAGCGAGGAGTTAAAAAGGGTCCAAATGAAGCCCTGGATTCCTTGGAGGGAGAGGTGGGGAGAATTGGGATATCGGTTCTCACTCACTCCCTCATCTACATTCCTGGTGTTTAGAGGTTCTGGATAATCAGTCAGGAGTTGGTCTAGGAAAATTGGAACTGCAAAAGAAATGAAGTTTGTTTTGAACTAAACTTCAGCTTTGGCTATTCTACAACTCTTAACTCCTTTTTTGGTGCTCTTTCTTTTTCTCTCATGTCATGTCCTTAGCACCCCTCAGTCTCACATCACACCATCTCTCCTTATTCTACCTACCAAAACCTGCACTCCGAACAACACCTGGAATCTGGTAGGCCTCAATATATGTGGCCAGTATTAGCAAGGAATAAAGGAATAGCATCTTTTGCTGCATACTTTACATTTCAGTCTTATTATCATCATGCCCATTTTACAGTAGAGGAAACTGAAGCAAAAGAAGTTAAATAACCAGCCTAAGTTCGTGGAAGTATTGACTAAAGGATCCTAGACACACAAAAATAGAGCCCATTCTCTGAACAACTCTGGCTTCCCAGGCCATGTTCCAGACTGAAAGGTAGCAGAGGGGAAGTTGAGTGCCCAAAGGGAAAGACAGACACATGGATGCCTACACCTCACTCAGTCTTAGCTGAGTAATCCTTACTGTAGAGCTCCCTCAGTGTATATGTGTTTGCTGCACCATAGCAGTGGGGATGAAGGGAAATCAGTGGGCAGTTGAGACACAGAATTCTAGAATGTGGGCTCTGAAAAGCAAAGAGAAAAAAGACTGAAAATAAAAAAGAACAGGATATCCAAGAACCGTGGAACAACTACAAAAGGTGTAACATAGGCATAATGTGAATACCAGAAGGACAAGAAAGAAAAAAAGATAAGAAATATTTGAAGCAATAATAACTGATAAATTACCCCCAAATTAATATTAGACACCATCCCACATACCCAGGAAGTTCAGAGAACACAACTCAGGATAAATACTAAATACTAAATAAATACTAAAATATACTAAATACTAAAGAATAAATACAAAAACAACAACAACAAAAAAGAAAACCCTATGCCCAGGCACATCATCTTCAAACATCAAAAAATCAAAGACAGGGACTTCCCTGGTGGTTCAGTGGGTAAGACTCTGCACTCCCAATGCAGGGGGCCCAGGTTTGATTCTTGGTCAGGGAACAAGACCCCACATGCATGCCACAACTAAGAGTCTGAATGCGACAACTAAGACCCAGCACAGCCAAAATAAATAAATACAATTAAATTTAAAAAATCAAAGACAAAGAAAAAAATATGGGAAGAAACCAGAGGAAAACAACAGCTTACCTATAGGAAAGCAAAAATAAGAATTACGTCTGACTTATCAGAAACCATATGTGCAAGAGAGTGGAGTGAAATATTTAAAGTGTTGCAAGAAAAACACCACCAACAGAGAATTCTGTTCCTTACAAAAATTCTCCTTCAAAAGTGAAGGAGAAATAAAGACTTTCTCAAATAAAAATTGAAGGAATGTTTTGCCAGTAGAGCTGACTTGCAAGAAATGTTAGAAGAAGTTCTTTAAAGAGAGAAAAGGGATAATAAGTCAGAAACTCAGATCTGCATAACGAAAGGAAGATCATACTCCTTCAGTGAAGGAGTAACCAAATGTACCACTGTGGTGCAGGATATGGATGGTGAGGATGTTGTGCATGTGTGGAGATGGGGTACATGGGAACTCTGTACTTTCTGCTCAATTTTGCTGTGCACCTAAAACTGCTCTAAAAAATACAGTGTATTAATTATTTAATGAGACTTTAATTTGCTTTATAAAACTCAAACTATGGGTGATTGGCATGTGGGCTTTTATTTATACTCACTCTGACTGGGTGAAAAGAATGCTAACTTTTTAAATAATTTGTCCTTAGGAAGAGAGAAGGAGGAGCTCTATGAGAATAGGACTTGACTAGTGCCTTCTTTTCCTCCGGAAATCACTAAGAGCCAGCAAGCCAGCAATTCCATAGCCCATTGGTGGATGGAACCCTCCATAAAGATTTGGCTTACACTCTGTCCTGAAGCCAGCTCTTTCTCTTTGCCAAGTTGAGCTTTCATGCTGTCTGTCCTCAAAGCAAACTAGGGCTTAAATTGATTCCAAGCTCTGATGCTTCCTGATTATAGAACAGTTTAAAGGAATTCCTTGATTGTTCAAAATTTAGAAGAAGCTCTTCCATATGGAGATTGCCTTTTTAAAATTAAAACAAACAAACAAGCAAACAAACAAACAAACAGAAAACCCTTCAGTTGTACCCCACCTGGTTTCAGAAAAAATTTAAACAAATAAAAAATCAGAGTGACAGGGAAATCAGTGTGTGTTTGAGTTCAATTCGGGACAATGTGATCAATGCCAAATTCTTACATTCTTCAAAAATCCTAAGAATCAACATTGTGAGCCAGTTAGGGGGAAAAAAATTTAAAAACAGAGGGGTAAAAGTCAGTTGATCCAAAATAAAAAGTAATGAATTGGAAAAGAAGAAACTAGAATAGTTCAGTTAATGTCCTCCCAAACTATTCTCAACTAAATACAGATGATACCAAAAAATGAGGAGTTAAAAAGAAAATTAAAACCATTCGGCAGGAAGTAGTTCCCTAAGCAACAAATATATGCAGCATTTCCAAAGTAAAAATGCTAGAGCTGTTCAAGATTGAGCAACTTTGGGAGGAGAGAGATCAGAAGGCGGATCACTCTTCCAAAAGGAAGGTATCTCACTCTGACGTGTCCAGTGGCCACAAACCCATTGCTCACTAGGGTTATGTTCCTACCATCTCTGCAACTTTCCATATCAGGCAGATTTCAGGCAGGCCAATCTGTGTCAAGATAACCAAATTCATGTTGATTCTAGCAATGTTTTTGTCCTTGAAATCCAGAACTGAATGCAAAATTCAGTCCTCTACAATTGCACTTGATCTGGCAACTCATTGTTGAAACTAAAACCAAAATTCTAACAAAGGTTGGTATGGTAAACACTGGTGCTTTTCACCAATATTCCCAACTCTCCCTCTCTGGGCATGAGTAGAATTAATCTTCCCTACTCTCCTGACATTAGATGTAGCCATATTGTTTGTTTTGGCCAATATAAATGGCCATATAAATGGAAGTGATATGTATGTTTTTCAAGTGGAAGTCTTTAAGAAGTTTACCAGTGATTATTCCCCATGTCATTGTCATCAGCAATGTTCCAGTTAATGGAGGGCCCACCAGCCTAGCTCCCTGAGTACACATGTGGAGCAGAGGCCCCTGCCGAAGGGTGATGAACATAACACCTGAATGAGAAATGAACACTGTTTTAAACTACTGAGAGTTTAAGGTTATTTGCTGTTACAGCATAACCCAGCCTATGCTGTTTAGAATAGCTGATAATTAGGGCAGCAGTAACTGAGGCCCCAAAATATCTCATACTTCTTTATTGTCAGAGAAACTTCTTTTTAGAAGAAATGGACAGTTTCCAATCTACTGAGGACCCTGAAAATACAACCATCTTTGAAATGTGACTCACTTACTGAAAATGTTGTCAGAGTAGACGTTCATAACACCAGTTAGATTTGTGAGATATCACATGCCTACTTTATCCTGAATCTTACCTGCAATTTTAAGTTATTTTATTTTTGAAGTGTTTTTCTGATCTTTTGTCATTGGTATTAAAGCTGCCTTAATATAAGAGTAATTACTTCAATGCGTAAGTATGAAGATATAAAAATGGTTGTATATTTCTATTTAAAACGGTTCAAACTAAAATCAACCACATCCCTTTAGAAAGATAATTATTGTAGATAGTTGACTGTAAAGATATTAAAAAGATGAATGGAATTGTGGGACTACACGTAGATTAAGGCCATCCACATTAAATTCCAGGTTTGTTTACTTAGGTTCAATTTAGGGTTATATTTCATATTTCTTAAAAGTTGTTTTCAACATTCAGTCAAGAATAAGCTCAAATATTGGGTTTGTTATGATATCAAAGTGACCTTAATTTTAGACAAATATTTGGCAAGCAAGAATCTGAGCCTGGTGAACTGTTATACTGATTTTTATGTTTTTAAGCAATGAATTCAGAGACAATCTGTGTTTTAAAACATGCTTTTGAGACTAACGCTAACTTTTACAAGGTCTGATTCAGTTCCATCCTTCTGGGAGATACTCCAACAGGCACTTTTAAGTGCAATTTAAATTTCAGGTAGCAAATGTTGCCTTGAACTCATTTATAGCATATGTCTTCTGGAAACCAATGCAATGTAGCATGAAATAAATAATTCTTAAAGATATGGAAATCATATAAAATATCTTCTGCTACCCAGAGATTCTTTTAAGAGAAAGATGATTTAAATAGGCATCTATTATTTCACTTTGGACCAGGCCTTACTATCTTGTCATTTGCGAGAGCTTTCCAGAAAGCAGCAGAGCCAGATGACAAAATCAGCTCCCATGGGGCTGGGCTGACTCAGGACATCTCCATATGGTTGTCACACAGCAATTTATACTCAACATGTCCCCAAATGAACTCATCCTCTTCCTTTTAAAACTATAGTTTTAGAGTCCCCTTCAACTCTTTCCTTGTTTCTCATATCTAACAATTCACTGATTCTAGTATTTAGCCCTTGCCTCTTGTCCTACCACTGCCCTGTCCTGGCCCTTGCCTCCCTAAGAGTCTTCCTGTCTCCAATATCTCCCCACTCCA